CCTACACGGGCCACAAGTACCTTTGTGGAGCGCTACAGTCTAGCATTGTTTTGTTAGAATGGGTTGAACAAATGCAAAAATTTATGTTAATCAAGGTAATACTCTTTCAAGGTGAAATACTCTTGTGTTCGGTTCTATTTATCTTGTAAAGACTTGTTAAGAATATTAGCTATTTCTTGAATTATTATTCTCTTGGTTTCTGTTAAATTATATTGAAAATAATAGCTATTTGAATGTGTAAATTTTATCAACTGACTCAAAACATTCACAGGGATGTTGCTGCTTTTGTGGTGCACTTCAGTTAAAGAACAAAGCCCTTCTTTCTCTCCATAAACATTGCCTTTTAGTTGCACTAAATTCTGACTGACAGACATAGCGGAGGGGAGTGATACCGTGAGTTAACAGCAGGCTTGCTCCCATACCAGAGAGAAGGTGGCCACTTACTCTCTGCTTTGTGACACTGGAGGCGGTCAGAGATTATTGTTACCTCTCCATCTGAGACCATGTGAAGAGATGGAGCCAGGGTGGGCTCATGTTTGTAGAGAGGAAGCTGCTGTAACTTGAGCAACCTGGGATATAAGGCTTAGAGACTCCATAGACGGGGAGAGCAATGATGGGTTTGCACTCTTGTCATCTCTTGGCAGCGGCGCAGGACACATGAGGAAAGGCGTCCTGTCTTACTTCAGCTGAATCAGCCTGAAGACTCTCTAAAATTCTTAACTCAGGCTTTTTCTATTTATCAATTACCATTACCTGAAGTAAATGTAACGTTAACAAGAAATACGGCATAAATTTTACCATAGAGTTTAAATAGCTAATAGCAACTCAGACTAAACTTCTCTTCTAATACCTATTTTTGTTTCTTAATCTAGCACATAGACTTTCCTGTACCTTGTCCACTGAGATTGTTTGAAATGCTGGTAGTCCCTGAGCAGGAATTCCCTTTAGTTTGTGTCGGTGTCAGTAGAGGAAGAGACTTCAACCAGGTGGTGAAGTTTGAGACTGTCAACCCAAATTCTACCTCTTCGTGGTTTACGGAAACAGGTTTGTGTGGCTGTTTTAATTGCATGCAGAAAAATTCCTTCTTGTTCTACTATAGCTGAAGCACTAGAAAGATTGTTTCCTCTGAGGAGACAGATGGTTAAATCATTAAATCTAAATGATGATTGCAGGTTTTCTGTTTAAAGGGGCATCTGATCGTATCTGCTCACAAACACGCTTTTGGGGCTGTACTTGACTATTTACCCACTGTGCTGCTCTGTGCTCTACTCTGACACCATGACTTTTGTTTATTTAATAGATTTTAATAAAATTGCACTCTGAGCAATTTCTTTCAACATCTCTGTAGGTGTGTTTTGGCCCTCCTGCAGTAGGCTAGTGCGGTTAGAAATGGTGTTACCAGCCTCCTCCTGAGAGAGGGCATATTTCTGTTCTTCAGATGTTTATGGAAGATGAAAGGGCTTACAACCACTGGGTAGCAGGAGACCAAGTACCTGTCCGTCACTGGTCTTGGCACTATGGGTGAGGAGGCCAACATCTGAGCAATAGTAGAAATTCTTTTAAGAAGGAAGTGTGTTAAGAATTACTGTCATCTAGAGGTGCGAGGTTACTAGAGAGAGTGGTGAGCTGACTCCAGTCATAGCTTGCAGGTTTAGAAGCAGTAAATAGCTTTATTGTTACCAATCTCAGGGCCCTTGTTGACCCATGATGAATTTGTACCTTGCTCCGTGCTGGCATATACGTGTGTGTGAGTCTGCCTGATGGCATTCTGTGGAATTCACTGAGTTTCCACTAGAAGGATGCTCCTGGCTTTCTTGGTGCTGAAGAGTGTGTCGGATTTTGACATAGTTTAAAGCATAGTTACAAAAAAGAAAGTTATCAGTGGATGGCCAATTAATGCACTTAACCAGAGTTTGTGCATTTTATTTTCAAACTCATACATCTGGGCATGTAACTGTCTGACTTCAGTAGAGTCCATAAAAGTAGCATGCTGAAGAGAAATTCTTTGACCTGCAACCTCCTGTTTTTGTTCTTCTCTCGGTATTGTCTGCATCAGTGTGCTAATAGTAATCCCTTCCCAGGTCCCGCCCCCCTTTTTTTTTTCAAATGCAGAAAATTTAACATTGCATTGTGCCTTCTAAAAGTACTTCTTTAGCATCCTCGAATCCTTTGCATGTTCTTGTGTTGTTTCTATGATGTTATTTTCTCCTATTTGTTTGACTCCAGTTTAAACCTTTGTATTGGTTTATTCCTGTCCGCTGCTGGCAGGAGAGCAACAATGCAATGAAACAGATACTTCAGAATTTTTTTAATAAGGAAAGTATGTACCATATGGTCACAAATAGCTTCCATCAAATAGTAGTTTTCATTGTTTGACATTGGACTTATTTTTTGTAAATGTCTGACAAAGACATTTTAAAAAAATGAGCTGGCAGAGACTTATTGCAGGGGCTTTCTCCCCTTACCATCCTTCCTTCTGTTAGCTTCAGCCAGTTCAGTGCATGTCTCCACATGGCATAACGTGGTGGCACAGATGTGTGTCCTCCAGTCCTTCTGTTGCATGCTCTCATCGCGGGTATATCCACCTTTGCTTAAGATCCTAAATGCGTAACTTCCAAGACAAACAGCAAAAAAGTGATGGAGGGACCATCTCAAGGAGCACATTTCTGCCAGCATCCTTGAGGAGGTTTTTACTTCTCAGCAGGACCATGGATTTTATTATTTAACTGAAAGCTGCTTTTGTATTTTAGGTAACATGCTCTAATTTCTCATCTCTAACAGATCTAATGAATTTCTGTTTTCTGTATGAAAGAATGTCTGCAGAATCCCTGGCAGTAATGCTGAATTAGTAAGAGCTGCTTTTTGTGTAATTTTAATGTTAACAAATGGACCAAAACTACACTTCTCTTTTGAGTTGATATGTCCACTAATCATGGGTCAGATCCCCATGTTTGCTATGATGGAGACTACTGCAGCTGTAACCCAGAAGAGACAAACGTAACTCTTCTTTTAAGAGTTTGGAGAAGGAAATAATCCCCTGGTTTTGAAGATCTGGGGATGGAAGGTCTGAAAATAGCAGCAAGAATTAAGTACTAATACAAAAGCCCCTAGCAAAATTTAGAAATAAAGGCAGAAGGAAAATGGAATGAAACAGCCTTCAGATGTAGTGTGGACAGTCCCCCATATCTCCCTTTTCTGCAACAGCAATATTAAATTACACAAACAGAGAATAAAGGGAGAACAATGTTCACATGAGTTTACTTTTGAGACATGGCTCTGGAAGGGCTGGATGGGTGAAGTCCATGCTTTAATATTGCAGCTTCAGTTTTTCTGTCACAGTCAACATGGATAAGTGGACATGCCTCTCTAAGAGAAGAGAAATGTTACGGGTAAGATGATTATTTCAAGTAGACAAAAACACACTAACCCATTAAATTGTTTCAATCTCTAGAACTTCCATTTCAAATTTCATGCTAATTTATGTTATGAACTAACACTGTCATTTTTTTATAGACACTACAGAGACAAGTGTTGTACATGTAACACAGCTGGAGAGAGATACCATTTTGGTGTGTTTGGATTGTAAGTTTTAGTATCAACTAAATATATATGTATGCATGTACATGCATACTGTCTGTCTTCAAATTAGGTCATATACTGAAGATTAATTCTTGGTTGACATATCCTATTTATTGTCTAGGCTGCATAAAAATAGTGAATCTGCAAGGCAGGTTAAAATCCAGCCGCAAACTGTCATCGGAGCTCACGTTTGACTTTCAGATTGAATCAATAGGTAAGCTGGATTTCTTTATTAACATTGAATGTTTGGATAGACTAGAGAGCTGGACAGTCACTGACTCTATTAAATTTAACAAAAGCAAGTGCTGGATTCTGTACCTGGGGAACAAGAGGCTGAGGAGCAGCCCTAGAGAAAGAGATCAGGAGATTTGGCTTGATGGCAAGTTGAAGATGAGACAACAGTGTGCCCTGGCAGCCAGAAGGGCCGACCAGGTCCTGGGGTGCATCAGGCAGAGCATAGTTAGCCAGTCCAGGGAGATGACTGTCCCACCCTCCACTGCACTGGTGCGGCCCCACCCTGAGTACTGTGTGTGGTTGTGGAGGCCTCAATACAAGGACATCAGACTGATTATTAGAGTGTGTCCAGAGGAGGGTCGCCCAGGTGGTGAAAGGTCTCAAGGGCAAGCCGTACAAGGCCGTACAGTGGCTCAGGTCACTTGGTTTGTTCAGCTTGGAGAAGAGAAGGCTGAGAGGTGACCTCATCACAGTGTACAGCGTCCTCAGGAGGGGCAGCAGAGGGCGAGGTGCTCATCTCCTCTCTCTGGTGACCAGTGATATGTGGAAACAGAATGAAGCTGCATCAGGGGAAGTTCAGACTGGACGTTAGGAAAGTTTCTTCACTCGGAGGATGCTTTGGTCTTCACTAGAACAGGCTTCCCACAGAAGTGGTCCAGCATCATCAAGCCTGTCAGAGTTGAAGGAGCATCTGGATATGATTTAGGTAGTCTTGTGAGGAGCAGAGGGTTAGACTTGATGATCCTTATTGGGTCCCTTCCAAGTCAAGATATTCTATGATTAACTTGTTTTCTCTTACAGTACAGAATTAGAGATGCTACCTGTCAAGTTTTTGGCATTTGAAACACCATCTCATGCATTTCACTTTGTGTGAGAAGGCGTTCAAATGCAGGTGCCTGTCACCATCTTTGTGACAGGGGGCAGAGCTGGGAAGTTCAGGGCTCTGCAATGCTTTATGTTGCTATTGCTGGACTGTATAAGGCAGCAGTTGCTGGGAAAGTGAAAAATGTCACTGTAGTATCCTTGCGACTTTTCTAGTAAAATTAAATACGTATTTTCTGCTCATATGAGAGTGAGGAGGGGCTTCCCATTCAAAGGAAAGGATGTGTTTAAGACTAGATGGAAGGACAGTTGGAGAACTTTTTCTGCTTAGGTGGGAATATTTTTAAACTCTGCCCATTAAACAAACAGATGTATATAGATGCAGCAATTCCTGTGAGACATTTTGCAATCTGTGTGCGTGATACAGTAAGACACACAGGTACAAATTTCAGAATTGCAGTCATAGGCTTTTGGCCTTAAAAGCACAAGTTGAAATTATGCCTCAAAACTGATACCACTGTTCTTTGTTACCAGTCTGTCTACAAGACAGCGTGTTAGCATTCTGGAAACACGGCATGCAAGGAAGGAGTTTTAGATCAAATGAGGTGAGTACTGCATTTTGCTTAAAATTTAGCTTCTAGTATAAGCCAAGCAGAAGATAAATGTGTAATGCTGTAGTCTGAAAAAAAAGTGAAACATTTAAGTAACTTCCTAGATTAGACCTGGAAGCTGGAGTCTCATTCTTTATCAATGATCTGGATGTTATCAGTGATCTGGATGAGGGGACTGAGTGGACCCTTCTAAGTTTGCAGATGACACCAAGCCGGGTGGATGTGGTGATGTGCTTGAGGGTAGGAAGGCACTGCGGAGGGATCTACGGAATAAGACCAATCGTATGATTTTCAGTAAGGCCAAGTGATGAGTCCTGCACCTTGGCCACAGCCACCCCCAGCAGTGTTACAGGCTTTGGGAGGAGTGGTTGGAGAGCTGCTCAGCAGAGAGGGACCTGGCAGGGAGTGTTGGCGGACAGCCGGCTGAACATGAGCCAGCAAGCAGCGTGCCCAGGTGGCCAGGGCCAACAGCATCCTGGCCTGTATGTGGAACAGTGTGGCCAGCAGGACCAGGGAAGTGATTTTGCTGCTGCACTTGGCACTGGTGAGGCCACATCTCAAGCACCATGTGCAGTTTTGGGTGCCGCAGTGTGAGAAAGACACTGAGGTGCTGCAGCGTATCCAGAGTAGAGCAAGGTGAAGGGTCTTGAGCAGATGTCTTTTTAGGAGTGGCTGAGAGAGCTCAGGTGGTTTAACTTGGAGAAAAGGAGGCTGAGGGGAGACCTTATCACTCTCTACAGCTACCTGAAAGGAAGTTGTAGAGAGATGGGGAGAGGTTTCTTCAAACTAGTAACAAGTGACAGGACAAGAGGAAATGGCCTCAAGTTGTGGAAAGGGAACTTTAGATGGGGCATGAGGAAGAATTTCTTTAGTGAAAGGGTTGTCAGGCATTGGAACGGGTTGTCCAGGGCAGTGGTGGAGTCCCCTTCCCTGGAGGTATTTAAGAGCTGTGGAGCCATAGCGCTTAGGGACATGGATTAGTCGAGGATTTGTCAGCATTAGGTTAATGGTTGGACTCGATGGTCTTAAAGGTGTTTTCCAGTCTCGGCAATTCTGCGATTCTAAGCGTGATTCATAAGCCACAAACTAATTAGTAAAGCTATACACGAGTCCCTCTTAAGTCTAACATACAAAGCAGAAAGCAACAAGAGACCAGGCCGTGATGCCATAGAAAATATCCAAGCCTAAATCTTGGGAACATTGATCTTCACCCCAAATTTCTTTAAGGACCAGTCCCTTAAGTTCTCGCATGTGGACACCCAAATTTGGGCTTTGCTGTACACTCCACTGCTGAGCTTTAGCTTTTTGTCACAGTGTCAGATGAGTTGCCCATTGGTTTTTAGTCTCTTCCCTGTTACCTTAGCCTATGAATACTTTGAAGTTTTAGTGCCCAGCTTTCACAAGAAGTATTTTCCATTCTCAGGAGAAAAAAGTCAGATAGTCCAAAAGAGGATTTTTTTTTTTTGTTTTAAATATCTGCGTAGTCCCTTTTTTCAGCCAGCTTGTGATTTTTAGACTAGCTTCCCAACTTTTTTTTTTTTTGCTGCAAACCTTGTGCATGTGTTAGTAGAAATGCTGTGCTTTTAATGAGTCTTTAAATATGCTTATTAAAGAATGTTTGCAAACTTCACCAGTTGTTCCAAATTCCTTATCTTTCCTGGCTTTCCTACTGCCCAGAGCAGCTCAGATCATCCCCTTGTGCACTTAACACATAAACACTTTGTCTTATTTCTATTGTCTAGATCACGCAAGAAATCTCTGATAATACAAGAATATTCAGGCTTCTGGGATCTGACAGGTATGAAGAGAAGTGAATATGGCATGCTAAAATAGAAGAATAATGAGTGTTCCTCCTACCTTGTGAAAGCTGGCTTTGCTTTTTTCTTGTAATTCCTTTTTAAGCCATCTTACTCATTGCTTTGTGTATGTGTCTACCTTAGCTGTTCAAGTTTACTTCTCTTTCTTAAAAAAAAAATAAATTTGTAAAAGCGGACTTCCAAACGTACTTGAGCAATGCTAGCAAGCTCCTATTTGTCTGCAGTCGCAATCTCCAGGAGTGTCTCCCTTTTTGTGCTGTAATTCTTTTGTTCAGCTTGGTGAAATCTTTTACTTTCAGATACTCTGCTGTATCTCATCAAGAGACAAATGCAGAGGAAATACTTAAAAAATGTAAATATCTCACTTTAAAGGAACTCTACCAGTTGTCCTCCCAATGTGACAGCTCTTGTAAGAGCTCTTGCTAATTCCCAGCGTAGCTGTTCTTTGGTATCTGCTGCGCACGACACTGAGCACCGTGTCTGTTGGATCCAGCAGATATCGGCGTGCCCAGTCAACAACTGCTATTCTAAGAGTGTCACTGACTTCCTCAGCTTACTCTGCAGAACTCTGTGCTTCTGTGACAGCCATAAAACCAGATGTTTTACTTTCTGATGTCCGTGCTGAATGATGGTTTCACCAGTAACGTGTTCATATGAAGTGGAAAGACAGGCTTTAATTTTGCGTCTGAGAATTGCCTCTCTCTGCCACTTGCAGTAAATGGACTGTCTTGTGGTATCTTAGAACTACCAGAAGAGGTTCATAGCAACCAAAGCCTTCCTCCGTTTGGCTTCCCCACGTGCACAGCCCTGATATTGCAGTTAACATCACCAGCGGTGAAGGTTCTGTGGCTTTATTGACTAGCTACCAGCAATTTTTGCTGGCAGGGGGCTGAGGATTCTGCCGTATGTGCCATACCTCATAGCTTTTCATAATGGGTAGCTGGAAGTAATAACTCATCTCTGACCTCAGGGGTTTATTGTCTCTACTTCAGCAAGTTGCGTGTGGAGCTCGGCTTCATTATGGTGTTTCTCTTGGTTGTTGAGAGACAGCACAGCTCAATTTAAAAATGAGTATGACTTCACAATGGAGCATGACACTACAAATCATCACCTTGGGGAAAAAAAAAAAGTCCTCTCCCCCAAATATGCTTCCATGTATTTCTGGCTTGCACTAGTAGTTTCTGAGATAGTGTTTTAAGGACTTTACGCTGCAGTAACAATGACCACCAGTCAGATGGATCCTGGGAAAGAATACTGACAGCTGTATCCAAGGATGTTCTTAAACAATGTCTTACTTGATGTGGCTTTTTCATTTTCATTTTAGGGTCGTGGTGCTGGAGAGTAGGCCGACGGATAACCCTACAGCCAACAGCAATTTATATATCCTGGCAGGGCACGAGAACAGTTACTGAGAGCAGCATGTGGCGGGCAGCTCACCGTGACAAGAGAATGCTCCTGCTGCAGCAGCGTTCTTGGCTGGCTGAAATTGCACAAAAGCTGCAGGAGCCCCACTTCAGTTACTTTATAATTTATTGTGGCATGAGAGGAAGATGAGAATTGTTTGTGGTATGGACACATAAGCATTAATGATACCACAGAAGTGCTTGATTTACTGTTATGTAATCTTTGTACATACGCAGTATTTTTCAGTGAAAATTCTTGCTGAAGACCTACACTGACTTTTCTGTAGATAGCGGTCCTCTTGTTAAGTACAAGTGTCTTACCTGTACAGATGTAAAAGTCACTGAGGATGCAAAAATGATATCGGGGTACTATTTTAAGGACTTCTCATGTGTCAAGTGGGATGCTAGCAACAAATATAGTACACTTAACAACACTATTGTATTTTATTATATGTAATTTACTAATACAAATAAATCTTAACTTTTAGAAATTGTAACCAAGGCTGTAATCAGATTACAATCTTGTTTTAATTTTGATGCAACACACTGGTGTTCATGTTTGCACAACGTATCGAGATGTGATGTCTTTAGTCACAAAGTAAGCTGTGACTTTGTGGGTATGACTTGGGCTTCAGAGTTCCTTTTTTAGTTTACTTGGGTAGTTTTCTTTGTGAAACAAACAAGTTAAACACCTGTATTTTTATATTTAATTAAAACTCTCCTTAAGATTACTTCTCTATGCTTGAAAAAAATACCTTCTGGATGGGTGTCAGTCCCAGACTAGTGGTACCTGGCTGTAACACTGCAATATGTGTTTGAATTATTAGTGTATACAATGATAAAAATTAGTATTACTGTTCGTCTTACTAAATAGTTTCATATCACAATGAAGAGGAGCAACATTCCACATGGTGGAAATGGCTCACAGATGTTGCCATTTTGACTTTTGTTTTTGGCCTTATAACCATTTTCACACTTGTTTTGATTTAGGATGTTAACACATGGCCAAAATAATTTAGTTACTACCTCATTCAAACAATACAATGGTTACTACACATCACAGGAACTTAGTTTTGATCAGAAGTATTTTTTGATTGCTGTTTTCCAATGGAGTATGTAAATGCCAAGTTTTAACAAAATGCACACATTTGATTTCTTTTTTTTGTATATGTTCTTTATATTTTATTGTGATAATGTACACTAAAACCAAACTAAATTTAAAGTGATTTATGGCCTGCATTATTGTTGTGATTGGTAATGCTTTGAAATATGTTCCCTAATGTATATAATGTAAAATAAACTTTTTTTAACATGTTGTTGTACAATTAGATTATCACCTGCACTAATTTTCCACATAAGATTAAAAGGGAACGTGGTGAGTTTGAATTTTGCTATTTAATGTTTGTGCCACACTCTGAATGTTTGAACCAACTGAGCACTGCCTGCAATTTTACACTACCCAGTGCTGTTTTCTTTGAAGGACAGAGATGCTGTAAAACCATTCACTGCTATTTGGAAGTCCTGACACCTTCTTCTCCAAATGCAGAGGCTGGAGAGCGGAGCACTGGTAGAGTTTTACACCCAGTGTTGGGAGCAGCTGGAATTTTAAACTCCGACAGACTTTCTATCATAAGAGAGCAAGTACAACAGCTCCACGGTCTCTGAGATGCTCTGATGATATCCCTGAAGGTGCAGGCAGGCTGCTAGACCAAGCAAAGAGCTCTGAGACATGAATGTTTTCCTGCCTTTCATCCTTGTTCAAGCTCAAAGCAGAAGTCTCGCTCCTTCAGAGTGCAGTAGCTGTCTGGAGGAAAAGTGCCTGAGGCAGAGCTGTGCCGGTGATGACAGCTCTTTCTGTGAGGCTCCATCCATTACCTGCTAAAGTGCTGCCCAGCTCTCCAGAACATCTCGGTCACAAATGTTAATTGAGCCTCCCAGCGTGCACACCGTTCCTGACTGGTGTCTGCATGGCCAACCCTGGAGACAAAGGGGGACTCAGCAGTCTCTGTCCAAGTGATGTGTGCTGGCACTTCGCTCTCCTCCCAGGTGGGAAGCTGGTCCAATGTCAGTGTGTTTGTGGAAGGGCTGTCCAAGGCAGGTGCAGGCCAGCACTAGGGTTCCTTCCTGGCACCTTCCCCGTGGGAACAATTGCTGGAGGTTTCCAAATTTTGAGCTGGGCTTGGTCTGGAAGTGTTAGATATTCGATAGAATCTGAGTTGGCAGCAAAGCTCGGCTCATCAGTATTAGTGAGGCTGTGCAAGGGCTGTCCAGGGCAGGTCTAGCACAGCAGTAACATTCCTTCTGGCACCTTCTCTGGAAGTATATTCTGTGGCAACTCAAGTAGGGCTTTTTTTATTTTTTTTTCAAAAAAAAGTCTTCTCAGCTATATCCCACCATTACTGGTGTCTCATCGTTTGAACTATACTTTTAAGAGTTTTTAATGCTTCATCTTCTGGTACTTGAAATAACTTGGTACTGGCCTTAGGGGAGTTGTTACGTTTTTGCTCCGATTACAGCAGTACTTCTTCCCATGCCTGTGCATCAATGGCATTGTGTTCAGTTCACAACAAAGCTGAGATCCTCAGGCACCTCTCCTGTTGCACAAGACTTACCAAAGATGAGGGAGAGTGGCCTAGCAATGACTTCACCAGCTCCCTCAGCACCCACGGGTGTATCCCATCAGGGCCCATGGATTTATGGATGTTCAAGTGTTCAAACTGATCCCTGACCCAGTCCTCCTCAACCAGGGCAAACTCCTCCTTTGTACTGACTTCCTCTGGGGCCTCAGAGATCTGGGGCTCTGGAGGAACAATTATCCCTTTTTTCCAATAAGTGGACTCAACTGAATCTTAAAGCAGGAAAGTATTTAGTTTCCCTGGTCTACATCAGTTAAGAAACATCTTCCACATGGTACCCTTGGAATATCACTACCAAATAAGGAAAAGCATTGTTAGAAATAAGACTCTTCACCCTAAAAAGCTAAGCATACCCATTAGGCACAAGCAAACACTGTCAAGTATTAATACCGAACACAGTTTATTTTCCACTCCAGGAGATCTCAATAACATTTCAAACCCATCAGAAATGAGCTGTATAATAAAATACAAGACTGCAAGGTAAAGCATACACACAGCCCTCAAAAAGAGCTGGAGACTTCTTCAGACAAGATGTGCTTCCTAAAACATACTGCTCAAGGGGAAAATCCATTTACAACTAGTATTAACCAACTTTGGCTTCACAGTTCTGCAAATGAAGACTTTCTTAAAGAAACTCTCCCTGATAATGAGAGCTTTTGACTGAACAAGGATTAGAGTCCTCTCAGAGGACTGTTTTTTTACAGTAAAAACGTCTGAAACACTAGTAGGCATCTTCCACCTCT